TCTCACCTTGTTGACATTTAGGACCACTAAGGCCTACAGGACAGAGGCAAGTTCCGTCTCGAGGATCACATGGATAATCGCCACAATCGCATTTTAGATGACAGTGAGGTCCGTAAGTAGAGTTTTTGCATGATGTCTCGCACTTAGAAAAGTTATTCTTCTGACTATGCTCTATCGAACAAAGGTTACTTACATGGTCTCCTTCAAATCCTGGCGGGCATAGGCACTGGCCATCTCCTGGCTCACAAGAGGCACCGTTCTGGCAGGAACATGACTGACTACAGTACCAGCCGTAAAAACCAACGGGGCAGACTAAAACGATCCAAATATGGACACTGCACACTTCGAGGTAATTCGATTCTTACCAAATTGGCATCTGGTTCCATATCGACCTGGCGGGCAGTCGCAGCATCCTTGAACTGGATCACATCTAGCATTTCCGTGACATTCACAGTCCAGGGTGCAATTCAAGCCATATTTTCCAGATGGACAACTTTGTTCACACGTTGTTCCCATATAACCGAGATTACACCTAAGGATTTTAATCATGGTAGAAATATGCTGATTTTTCTAATGAGATGAAGAAGACATAAAAGAAGAATTATATGTGAATTCTCACTTGCATTCTCCAGTTGCTGGATCACAATGTGCGCCGTTAGCACATCGACATTTATCTTTGCATCCAGGGCCCCATCGTCCTTCTGGGCAAACTGAAATAGAAGCACATATTTGGGGATTATTAATTTCTATTTTTTTGAGATTTAAGATGTAAATGAGGCTTACCTTGATTACAGGTGAGGCCCGTAAATCCGGGAGCACATTTGCATTGTCCTGATAGTCGGTCGCAAGTCCCACCATTTTCACAAGAACAAACTTTCTCACAGCTAAAAGAGATATTTTCAAACTAAAGAGATAATTGGAGTGAAATTTCAAGCACAAAGAAAAGAGATATTAGCATTTAATATCTATATAAATATATTAATATCGCCGAGTTATATTGTGAAAATCAGAAAAACCTACTTATCTCCATAACGCCCTAATGGACAAGGTGTGTCACATTTTGTACCGATAAAACCAGGTGGACAAATGCAACCACCAGTTTCCTTGTCGCATACTGCCCCATTTGCACATTCGCACAATTCTGAACATTCGGCTCCAAAACGTCCCTGTACACAACCTGAAATGACGCGAAGTGATGGACACAATATCAGAGTGGAAAAATGCAAAAC